CTTAAAATAGAGAGGAGGAAAGCTATATATACTCAGACATAACAATTTGATTTTTAATTAAATACTATGTTCTTACATAGTTGGTGATATATTCTCTCTATCTCTATTTGAGTATCATGCAATAATGCATGATCCTCATTTAGAGAAGATTAAAATAAACTGCCAAACAAGAGAATATTCTATAATAAAACCAAATGGACTGTTTAGATCCTAAAACAGATGTCATGTAGTTGTACACAATACATGCAATGAAAACACATTAAAAATATTTTAAAACATACCTTTGACAGCTTTATTTCAACTGAATGTAAGTAAGTCTTTAGAAATGCATCACAACAGAGTCTATATAAAACTGATTCCGCAACAAAAAATAAGGCAGGAAGATTATCATAATCAAAGGAAACATGGTCCACCGAAGCATAAAGCATATTTAAAGCTTCTGAAATAGTAAAAAAGTAGAAGCTCCATGATTTTATAAATCATGCTATTTTTCTGCATGCTACAATTAAATATTGCAATTAACTATTTGCTCAGTCACTACAAGACCTATAAACTACAGATTATAGTTTTTAAATATTTACAAATTCTTTCACATCTCTCCTATCAAGAGGTGAAGTCTCTTGCATATGCCTCCTTCCCCTTGAACCTGATCAGACCTTGTGACTTCCACCTACAGAATGTGGCAGAAGTGGCACTTGCATGACTTCCGAGGTTAGATTAGAAAAGGCACCACAGCTGCCCTCTGGACCTTTCTCTCAAGATACTAGCTTTGGAACCCTGAGCTGCCATGGAGAAAGGTCATCTACTCAGAAGTCACGAAGCTGGAGAGACTATAGAGATAGACAGAAACAGAGGCAGAGGTAGAGATAGAGAAAGAGAAAGGCCCAAGGAGCTCCAGCTGCTCCAGACAATGCAAAATAGATCACAAGGCCACATACATACTGGTGTGGGAAACAGGACAGAACTGGATGACAAAAGACAGTGCTAAAGATAAGTACTGTAAAAAAGAAGAGTGGGACACTAGAAAATCAAGGCAGGAGAAGTAGGACCCAGAGGAAGTGAACGAGGAGAATATAGAACTAAGGTCCTAGAGAAAACTGCATTTCAAGTCATTATAAAGATTTTGAGGAGCTGTCAGGTAAATACCTGAGGAAGGACAGCAAATGCAGGGACTTTAGAAAGGAAAAGCCCTGATGTGCTCAAGGGACAGGAAGGAGGCCAGTATGATTGGAGCATAATGAGTAAATAGGGGAGCTAGCCAGGAGCCAGATCATTCGGAGCCCATAGTATGGAGTTGGGGGTCACTTTAAGTGTAATCAGTAGGCACTAGCAAGTAAGCTTTGGAATGGTCACTGCTGAGTGGAGGGTGGGTTACAGAATGAGGAACAGACAAGAGCACAGACAGGACACAGATAAGAAGGGTATTTCAGTTATGGAGCTGGTAAGAACATAGTATACTTAGGGTCTTGTTTGGAGTTCAGTGTCTTAATGAGGTGAAAAGCTTTTGGTTGTGTGTAACAGAAAATTCAACAAAGTGTCTTCAAAATAAGTATGTTTATTACTTGAACAAAACCGGAGTTGGAAAGGCTTCAGGGCTGGCTAAAAATTCTGCCCTCTGTATGCATATTGCTTTCATGTTCTAGTTCCCCTGATGTGTATGATGACTGCACAAGCTCCAGCATTTCGTTCTTACCACACCATTTAGAGAAGAATCGAAATGGGTATAGGGAGGGAAGGGTGCTTTAGTCCCAGGCATGTCTTTTCAAAAGCAACTCAACAAAAAGTACTCCAAACAGACTCACCTTTACATCTCTTGGTCAAGACCAGGTCATGTGACTACCTCTGATCTAATCATGGGCATGTAAAGGGGAGTCACCATGATTAGTACAGATCAAGCATAATACATCCTCTGAGGCTGGGAAGGGCCAGTCCTCTTCTGAATCACATGACTGCAGGCTACTTGAATAAAATTGAAGTTTAATTGATAAAGAAGAGCAAGTGGCTGCTGCTTGCTGGTAAGCCAAGAGTGTTTACTTCCGTGTTATTTAAACATTTAATAGAGGTCAGGCTGCGGATGGCCTTGTGATGAAGAGCCATGTAGGTAAGTTAAATACAAAATCGTTCTGACTCTTCCTGATGCATGTAAGCTCCCAGACAGCACCACTAAACCCAATTTACATGGGGAAATACACTCTGGCCTCATGTGCTTAACATTCTAAAACTCATTTGAAAAGGCCTACACATAGAATTTAGGAAAATCATGGAAGGAATTTTACCTGCTTAAATATAATGGTTTCTAATTTCTTTTCTAGATTGGTTGGAGGGTAGTTTGAAAGGAAATATAAATGAAAAGATAATGAGTAAAATGGCTGTTTAAAACAAGTGAAAAACAAATGACCATTTGGTTAATGTTTTATGAGTAAGAGTTTAAAAATGGAGAAACAAGTTTCTGTATAGCGCCTATTGTAATTGAAAATCACTAAACGACACTTTATATTACTTTTTAATTGAAGATGCTAATTTTAGAAAAAAGACAATAAAGACTATGCTGAGCAAAAGGTTTTAAAACAATTTTATAATTAAAAAGTTGAGCAGCGAAATTCATACATTCAAAATTATAAAAGGAGCTTTCACAATGAAATATTATCAGGTATCCTGATAGAGAATGGCAAGTTTTTCTTGGATCCTGCACAATTTTTAAATATTAAAGTTCTCAAATTATGCCTTCACTGCTAATCTAGAAAACACTTAGGGTAACTAAGAGGAGTTTAGTTAGAGCACATACCATCTTGAACGTTTCCTTTGCACTGAGCCAGATATATTACTTCAGTCCATGCAGTAGGAAGATTCACATGTTTCCCAGTGCCTAAGGTTTTGAGACCCAGTTTTCTCTGTTATGGAGAAACATGAAAGAGGCAAACAAAACTGTATTGATTATTTATTTATTTATTTCTATTACCTTTAATTATATTCTCAAAGTCATTCTATGAGGCTGATGCTATGGGCCAGAGTTGTATAAAACTTGATTTTTTTTAATTTTTGCTTTTCCTATTTTTATTTGTTGACACTTTATGTAAACTGTATTAGATTAAAATGCAGAAAATGTTTGTTAATATTCTGAGTAATATCATTAGTTATTTGTTGGAAATATTTCTTACTCTTTATGTCTTAGGGATTTCTTCTATTTTCATTTCATTCCCTCACCAAGGGAATGTGTCTCTCATGTTAGAAGGAAAAGTATATTGAAGCATTGTGATTTAACAGAAATTAATTTGATGCCAATTTGCTGAAAAACTCTAGCTACTTCACATAGGCCAAAGCTAATAAACATGAGAATCCTCTGTGCATGGATAGTGAAGGTTTAGGAAAGCTTTGTTTCCATCTTTGGGATACAGCGTATCTTAGTTAACATTTTTTTTTAGGAAAAAGTGGAATTATCCTCATCAAAAATTTACTTGTCAGCCTTTGATATTTTGCTATGGGCTTTTGGACTACATATTCCCCAAAACTGATGGGGAATCTTCAACCCAAAAAGCAATTTGACATTAAATTATTGGGTTATAAGCTTTAACTTCAATTTGCATTAATATTTTAACTATGCTTACTTATAATTAAAGAAAGGTGTATTCTTATTTTTTCTTTCAATTTTCTTTCCACCAAGTAGAAGAGAAAACTGATATACTAAGTAAGTCAAATAGTGTACCATTACCTTACATCTGAGAATGTGTTTCCTAGCTAGATCCAACAATTCTTCCTTCTCTTTTGGATTTTTTGTATGGTTGAATCTCAAGATGAATTCTTCTGTGATTGAAAATGGTGGCCTAAACAAAGTGTTTAAAAAATTAATAATTATTCAGTTCCAAGTTTTAATTAACCAACTTCCAGTGGCTAAATACAACTATTTCCTAAAAGAGTAATTTTCCTTATAAGAATGTTTCACACAAAAAACAAATCAGTAAAATAAAATATATGTACATGCCTTCTAGACTTATCATATCATACTTGGATTGAGAAATATAACTCTCAGGATGTCAAATAACTTTGTAGCCTCTGGAAAAAAAGCTTCGAGATGGTGGCCAGAAGTCTTGCTGATGTATGCCCTCTTCGTAGATAAAATAAGCACAGCTTCAATTATGTTGAAGACTGATTTATCTCCACACATACGTTGGTGTTGATTCAATTAAACCAAACCTTTATCCCTCCGTGTAAGTGGAATCAGTACAGCTATGGCTGGAGTAAAGTGAACTGGGAAGAAAGATATATGTAATAAGGTCACAGAGGTGGCAAGTAGCTAGATTAACCCTGGATGAGTGATCCTGTCAGTGGTTAGTGTGGCCTATCCTAATCATGTGAATCTGTCTAGTGGGGCCTAAGAAGACCCAAGAGTGGGTATTAATGTTAAGGAAATGAAAATGAACAAACTGCAGCTATATGCACAATATAGATGATCTCACAAACATACTGGTAATTCAGACACTGCAGAATATATACACTACAACATTTACTCCATTTATATAAAGCATAAAACTGTGAAGAAAACGAAAGGAAAGTTAGGAGGGTAGAGAAAATTAGCAGGGGAAAGGGGGGTATTTTAATGGAAAAATTTACAAAAGAGCCTTCTGAAAAGCATTTACTCCTTCACCTGGAGTAGGCAAGTTTGCTTTATAACAATTTTTAAGTTTTATATTTATTTTTCTATACTCTTCTGTATGTGTGTTAACATTTCACAACAAAAACGTTTTAAATATTAATGGCAAGATCCAAGAATATGTGTATTTTTAATTACAATAGATTTTTAAACTACTTTACAAAAAATATTCTAGTCATTCATATTAATACCAGTACAGCATGAAGATTCCCATTTCTCCACATCCTCACCAGAACAGGATGATATCAACTGTGTTAATTATTGCCAATTTGATTTATGAAAATGTTTTTTTCCTTGTGGCTTAAAGTTTGAGGTTCTATAACTACTAGCATTCCTGGGCATCCTTTTCTATATGAATGGCCTTACATTCATCCTTACATTTTCTATTCTGTGGCAAACATGTTTATATATTTTGTTCATTTTTTTTTTCCTATTAGGCTTTTTGTCTTTTTCCTATCAACTTGAGGCAATATTGTGTAATGGTTAAGTGCACAGGCCCAGTAGCCCGACTGTCTATGGGTTGAATCTTACTCTGTCCCTTACTAGATTTGTCACCTTAAGTAGTTTATTTAACCTATCTGTGTCTTAACTTCCTTGTCTATAAAGTGGAAATGTAAATATACATTTAACATGGTCTGTTTTGAAAGTTAAATGAAATAATATATGTACTGTACTTAAAAGAATACCCCACATTCTTTCTGGGGTTTCTTGCTTAGATGATCTTCCTCACCCAATAATATACAAATAGACACCTAAATTACCTTACAGTAAATTTTTACATTTATATTTTTAATTCACCTGCAATTTATTGTTGAAAATGTCAAGATGTAGGAATCTAACTTGGTTTTACTTCCAATGGGCTGCTCTTAGTGACTTTTGCCCCAGAGTATGGAATGGGGAAAAAAGGAGTAAATTTACAGGGACAAACCTGACAAGCGCTGCTTCAGCCAGGTGGTCAGATTCAATATCCACAGCGATAAATTGTGTTGATAGTATGTACCCTTGATGTGATGTGGTGAAAATGCACATAAACTCTGCAGTCTTTCTCACACTCACAAAAAAAACCATAACACCAATCTAATCATGAGAAAAACATCAAAAAATTCCAGTAGAGGAATATTCCATAAAATGCCTGACCAGTACTCCTCAAAACTGTCAAGGTCATCATAAACAAGGGAAGTCTGAGGAACGATCACAGCCAAGAGCAGAAGGACACGTGACAATGAAATGTAATGTAGTATCGTGTACAGAGTCCTGGAACAGAAAAGTTTTAAATAGACATCAGGTAAAAAGTAGGAAAATTTGAATAACATATGGGTTTTAGTTAATAATAACATATCAATATGATTTGATATTGTGACAAATGTGTCATACCAATACAATGTTAATAACAGAAGAAATTGGGTGGTGGGTATATGGGAACTCTTTGTAATATCTTCTGATATGTCTAAAGTTGTTTTTAAAAATAAATATATGTAAAACTGTTGTAAAACAGTTTTATATCTAAAGCTGTCCTAAATAGTAAAGTGTATTTTAAAAGAAGTGTAGACAGATAAGGAATGGACGGTGAAAAAATATCACTTCAAGATAAAGCATATCAGTCATTTGTTACTTTATTGCTTCATTCTATATTAATTGAGCACCTCTGTGAGTTACACATTCTTCTAGGCAAGAGGACACAAAACAGAAGTGAGTCAAAAACAGATGTGCAGTCACCTGCCTCATGGATCATATACTCTGTTGAGGGGAGAGTAGGTATACAATAAACAAGAAAACAAATAAATGAACAAGATGATTTGTGAGTGTAAGTACTGTGAAGACATTAGCAGAGTGGTGTGGAAGAGATCTTGTACAGGAGAAGAGCTACTTGACATTAGGCAATCAAGGACAATTGTGAGGGAGAGACATCTGAACTGAGATGAGAAAGAGAGAGGAGAAAAGGGATAGAGACAAAGGAGACAGTGACAAGGTCTGGGAGACAGCCAGGGACTAGATCTCACAGGGTATTCAGATCAGAGGGTGGGGTCTGGATTTTACTCGAGATGTATTGGGAAGACAATGCAGAGCTTAAATTAGAGCCTAACAAGATTTCATTTACATTCTTAAAAGATCACTGAAGCTGCTGTTCACAGAGCAGGGACAGGCACACATGATTAGGAGGCTGCTGCAGAATGACAGGAATTAGACGATGGGGACTTGGTGGCACTTGTGGAGATGAGAAACTGCTTAAGGTCACATAATGACAAGGGGCCAAAAACTCATCACACTTCAAATTCTAAAGCCCACAAAAATCTGTTCCATAATTCAGTATTAATGTATCTGTCTTATATTCCTTCCTGTAACTTGAGGTTCTTAAGTTTTGCCTTATTGCTGTACGTACAATTTGCTTAGTGAACCCCTGATGACTTACTGATACTAAACTGTACTTTCTCTGTTTTACAGGAAAATAAAGGCGGCTCAGAGAGGTTAAGTATCAAACTCAAGGCCAGGCTTTAAAAGCGAACAGAGCCAATATTTGAAATAAGCTGCCTAAACTAAGCCTTTCCATTTAGCTCTTTTTATAAGATTCCTCAGAATGTATTGCTCTGTAAGAATATATACTGTATGCATTCTTCTTCTTAATAAAATGTAATTTAAGCAGATTTCCCCATTACCAACCACAGACACCCCCAAACACACACAACACACAACACACACACACACACACACACACACACACACACACACACACACACACAC